GGCACGGTAGTTGGGCCCAAAATCTTCTTTTTCCCCAATTTCGTCCCAATGAATCGGAGATCGACACTTTCAACCCATAAAGGGTTTCATAAGAAGCCATGTGTATTGAGGAATGAAAACTGTTGTTATACGTAAATTCCACTAGTGTAAGGTCCTGACTCCAATTCTCCAAAATTCAAAATACAAGATCTCAACATATTCTCTAGGGTTTGGATTGTCCTTTCCGATTGTCCATCGGTCTGCGGGTGGTAGATAGTATTAAAATTCAGTTTAGTCCCTAAGTTCTCTTGCATCTTTTATCAAAATCGAGACACAAATTTAGGGTTCCGATCTGATACTATACTCACCGGTATCCCATGCAACCTTATAATTTCGTCCAAGTACAACTTAGCCAAATGTTTCAAGGAGTACTTCATACTAATCGGCAAAAAGTAAGCAGATTAGATCAATCGATCCACTATTATCCAAATAGCGTCATGCCCTCTCTAAATCTTTGGTAGCCCCGATATGAAATCTATTGTGATATTCTCCCATTTTCACTTAGGTATCTCTAACGGCTGCAATAATCCAGACGGTTTCTGATACTCGGCTTTAACTTGCTGGCAAGTGAGATAAGTTCAAACAAATTGGTCAATTTTTCGTTTCATATTTTTCCACCAATAAAGTCTCTTCAAGTCTTGACACATCTTATTATCTCTAGGATGCACCGTATACTTAGAATGGTGAGTTTTGTCCAAAATTTTCTTCTTTAGATCTTCATCTTTTGGCACCACTGAGCTATTTCTAAACTTTAACATTCTATCGGTCCCCAAATTGAAGTCGAACTTTTCCTCTTTTTGAACTTTCTCAATCGATTTTTGCACTTCAGAGTCTCCTTTTTTAGTTTTTTTGATTCAATCTAACAAGGTAGACTTTACAGTAATATTCCCAAAAATTACCCTCTGTGGCTCGAGACATAAGTTTCTAACAATAACTTCCTCTAGCATGTGCCATTCTCTCACCATTAAATTGGCCACTTGTACCTTACCACTTAGAGCATCTGCCACTACATTAACTTTTCCAGATGGTAGTTAAGCGTACAGTCATAATTTTTCAAAAATTTCACCAATCGACATTGCCGCAAATTCAACTCCTTCTAGGAGAATAAATACTTAAACCTCTTATGGTCAGTGAAAATCTCGAAAGTTACTCCATACAGATAATGTCTCCACTTTTTCAAGGCAAACACCAATGCCACTAATTCCAAGTCATGGGTCGGATAATTCTGCTCATGAGGTTTCAGCTTACGAGAGGCATACGCAATCACTCTTTTGTTTTGCATTAATACATACGCTAAACCATCCTTTGAAACATCTGTATAAACCATAAAACCTTCTCCTCTGGTTAGCAATGCTAATACAGATGCCTCGATCAAATATTTTTTTAACTCCTAGAACCCTTTCTCACATTTAGAATCCCATATGAACTTGCTATATTTTTTAGTCAACTCGATTAGGGATTTTACAATTTTAAAAAAGTACTTAATAAATCGGTGGTAATATCCTGCTTAACCTAAGAAACTCCGAATTTCGGAAGGATTTTTTGGGCGTTTTCACTTACAAATAGCTTCGATCTTAGCTGGATCCACAGTAATCCCTTCTTTAGAGACTATATAACCTAAAAAGGCTATTTCTTTCAACCAAAATTCACATTTATTAAATTTAGCAAAAAGTTGGTGCTCTTTCAGAGTTTGCAAAACTATCCTCAGGTGCCATTCATGATTTTCTCGTGAATTAGAGTACACCAATATGTCATCAATAAATACCACCACAAATTGATCCAAATACAGTTTAAAGACCCGATGCATCAAGTTCACAAATGCTGCTGGTGCATTAGTTAACAAAAAGGGTATAAATATAAATTCAAAATGCTCATATCTTGAATTGAAAGTGGTCTTAGACACATCAACTTCTAGGATCCTCAACTGGTAATAGTATTGCCTCAAATCCAATTTAAAAAATACCACGATCCCTTGCAACTGATCAAATAACTCATCTATGTGAGCCAAATGGTATTTGTTTTTAATGGTCACATCGTTCAAGTCTCAATAGTCTATGCATAGTCTCAAAGTCCCATCTTTTTTCTTAACAAAGAGCACTGGAACTCCCCATTGTAAGTCACTTTCTCTAATAAAACCTTTTCCTAATAAATCTTGTAACTGCAATTTCAATTTCTTTAATTCAGTTGGAGTTATCCTGTAAGGCGTCTTAGAGATAGGTGTCGTCCCCGAAATTATATCAATTTTAAACACTATTTCTCTCTCCGAAGGCAACATCTCTAATTCCTCTGAAAAGACATCCAGAAACTCCCTTACTACTGACACGTTTTCCAACTTCACTTTATCCCCAAGTATATTTATAAGAAAGACTAGATATCCTTTAACCCCATTACTCAACAATTTCCTAACTCGAATCCCCAAAATTAAAGCAGATGATGCTAGTCTACCTCTCACATCTAATTTCAAAGTTGCTTCCTCCGGAATGTGCAACTCTACTAGTTTCATTTTATAATCCAATTGAGCATGGTATCGAGCTAACCAATTCATTCTAAGTATCACATCATATCTCTTAATTGTTAAATTCAATAAATCTGCTAACAATTTTCTCTCACCAACTTAAATCTCACAATTTCTATAAACTTTATTAGTAATTAGACACTGGTTTCCCGTAGGAGTCTTAACTTCCAAATCAAAAGGCAAGAAATCACACTTTATATCTATACTCTTCATAAAGTTAGAATCTACGAATGAATTGGCTGTCCCGGAATCAATTAAAACCCTAGTTAGGCAATGAAAAATGGGGATCGTACCTTCCACCAGATTGAGTTAGGAATTTGCTGATTGTCTAAGGCGTAAATCCTAACTGGCACTTTTGGTCGGTTTCCTCCGGCACTCGACTGCTTTGAAGCAGATCTAGCAGGCTGCTGAGAATTTTTTCATTTCTTAAAGGCACTAGGGCAATTCGCAATCTGATATTCGGCACTACAGCAGATCAGACACTTTCCTTACTTTCTCCAGCATTCAACCTCAGTGTGGTTAGATTTGCCACAATATCCACAAGTCACACGAGGAGTCAATGTCTGACCAACTTGAAAACTCCCTTTTTACTGATCTCGTTCACTATGATTTCCTTTTGGTGAGACTCCCCTTGACAGAGCTCCCCCTAACTTTCCGGACATCCTTACTCCTCCAACCCCTCTTCCCATCTTAAGGGATTGGGTAGATTTTTCGGACGATCCAAAGGCATTACTTGGATTATTCCTCTTTCCAGCATGAAAAATTTTGGATTGAAACTTAGCATTCTCTATTCTCTGTGCCTTATCCAAGACATCCGTAAAAGTTGTGATCTGGACAGTTGTTAATGATTCTTGGATTTTTACATTTAACTCTTGAATAAATCTCCTTATTCTTTTGTGCTCCGTGACCACTAGTTCAGGGGCAAATTTGAAAAGTTTGGTAAACCACTCCTCATACTTAACCATACTTAGTAACTCTTGTTTCAACTTAATAAAATCGTCCTCCTTCTTTTCTTGTATCATTGGCTGGAGGAATTTGGCATTAAACTCCCTCTCAAAGTTTGTCCAAATTCAGGGGATTTGTTCTCTTTTCCACTTTGCCCTCACAACATTCCACCATGATCGCGCCGCTCCCTCGAACTGGAAGGCGGCGAAATTTACCTGCCTTTCCGCGACATAATTTATAGCAGAAAAGATCTCTACCGTCCTCTCAAACCAATTTTCTGCTGCTTCGGCATCAAATCCTCCATGAAACGTAGGTGGGACGAATTTCAGGAACCGCTCTAGAGTTCTATCCTCATCCCTCTCTTGATTTCTAAATTGGTTGATTGACTCAGGGTCTTAATGCTCAGATAAACGCTCAAGAACATCAGTTATGTGATTAAAGGCCGTAGTCACTTGGTCACCCCTAGGGGTGGCAATCAGGTCTAAATCAGGTTGGCGGGTCGGGTCAGTCAAAAAATCTATTAACCCGAACCCGACCCATCAACTCGTGGCGGGTCAGGTATGCTGACCTGAACCCTACAATTTCAGGTTGGCGGGTCAAGCGGGTTGACCCGAAACGACCTAAAATTTACTTCCCATTTACTGACAGATTAACCGGCTGTGATTTTTAATAGAATTAATTCCAAACTAAATTAAGACATTACAAGAGTAAAAATAATGTAATACATCATCTATCCAAATTTAATAGCTCCAACTTCACACAAATCAAACAAATTCAACTAAAATAATCAAAACAAAGGCTGCCAACCAAAATTACGAGTTTAGAGTCAATATAATACAATTCACATGATAAATCATGACAAAAGTAGTGTTTCAAGACCAACCAATGTTCTGCCCTTATCATCAGCAACAAGCCAACAACAGCATTCATAATTTGCGTCCTCAAAGCAACATTCATAGCATGAGGGCAGAACACAAGTCAAATTTAATAGCTCCAATTTCACACAAGTTTAGAGTCAATATATTACAATTTAACATAATATTAAATTATGACAAAAGTGGTGTTCCAAGGCCAACCAATGTCCTGCCCTCATCTTCAACAACAACAACATTCATAATTTGCGCCCTCCAAGCAACATTCATAGCAACCACTCCAGCTAGGAGGATCATGATCAACACCAAAGAGAAAGAAAGATTACTTGGATATTAAACCACGTATTAAATCTTACAAAATATTTTTAATCAAATTTAAAAATTAACTTACCATGCATCAAATATCATGGATTAGAGATTAACAACATTAGAATTTGAATCCTCAATTATTGTTGCATCAATCTCATCCTTGTTGATATTGAGAGACATGATATTTTGAGTTAAATCCTCCAAATTCATATTTAGAGATCCTACATTATAAGAATGAAAAAAATATATGAGTAACAATATCAGAACAGTAAAATATGTAAAAAAAATCTGTATTTACCTTCACTTTTATCTCCAAACAACTAGTCCTTAATGCAAACTAAAGCCTCAACAATTTGGGGTGAAAGTGAACTACGAAATTGATCCAAAATTCTACCACCAAGGCTAAATGCAGATTCAGAAGCAACGGTCAATACTAGAACACATAGAATGTCCCTTGCCAATTTACTCAAATCTGGAAATCAAAATTGTTGAGCTTTCCAATAATCAAGAACAATAATATGTGAGGATCGTTTAGCTCTTGGCTCATCTAAATACAATTCCAATTGACTTTTTGTGCACCAGAGACAAATTCAAAAGTGTCAAATTGATCAAATTCCTATATAAGTTACAAACAGAAATATATTAGATACGATAATAAAACAAAATAGTTAAAAATCATCATCACAATAATAATTTTAGAACGCAATAAAGTTACAAAATTTTAATTTTCATACCTCTAAAACATCAAATGATTGGTTGTCTTCTTGGTCCTTGGATCCATGAGAATATACTTCATTGCTACCTCGAGAGCATGAAGACGATGCACCGGGTATGTTGAAAGTCTTCACATACTCATTATAGACATCAAAAAGTGCATTTCTGATCTTGACTAATTCATTAGACCCCGTGCCATACAACTTATTATAACTAAATTCAATAAATTGAAATTTATACCGAGGATCAAATACCACAGCAATTGCCAACAAGAGATTGAACTCGGACCAATATTTATTAAACTTCACAAACATTTGGGAACCAATCCTCCTCATAAAATCATCTGAACTATTGCACTCCTCAGACAGCTTCAATTGAATTTTAAAAACTTGAGAAAAGTACAAGTTACTAGTTGGATAATTGGACCCTGAAAAAGCATTAGTTGCCTCGTAGAAAACTTGAAGAAAGCCACAAATTTTTTCAACTCTTTCCCATTCTTCAAGAGATGGACAGCATCGAAAATTTGAATCACTTAGTTGTAAGTGACCAAATGCAAGGCGATAATAAAGTGCACTGGACAGCATCCTATATGTGGAGTTCTACCTAGTAGGAACATCTTGAACTAAAGCTTTCTTGGAATCAAGAGAAGTCTGTGTTATACATTCGATGAACCTTAACTTCCTTGTTTGAGAACTCTTGACATATTTGACACATTCTCTTATTAACTCCACAGATTTATCAATTTCTTTCAAACCATCTTGCACAATCAAGTTGAGAATATGTGCACAACAGCGCACATGAAACAACATACCATCACAAACCAAAGAATTTTTCAACTTAAGCTGATTCTTAAGTATTGCAACACAAGAATCATTTGCAGAAGCATTGTCTAATGTGATGAAAAATAATTTCTTTTCAATACCCCAACTACTAGCCAAGCTATAAATTTTTTCAGCCAAGGCAACACCATTATGAGGAGGAGGCATATAAGAAAAATTCAGAATTTTTTTCTGTAGCAGCCAATTGCTATCAATGAAATGTGTAGTCAAACTTAAATATCCATCAGTAACAATAGATGTCCATGCATCAGAAGTTAAACATATTCGACTAGGACATCCACGCAATTCACTACCAAGTCTATTAGTTACTCTTGCATGCAATTTTTTAATATCTGACTTGGTTGTGTTCCTAGTGATATGTTTAATTTGGGGTTCCAAATATGTAAGAACATTTTTTATCCCCTCATACTCCATGAATGAAAATGGCAGTTTATGTCTTACTATAGCATGCACAAGTAATTCTCTAAATTTATCTTGACTGAATTGTGCATTTCGTGTGCCTAAAGTACCTTTGTCAGAAGTGATTAGGTACTGCCCAATGTCCTTTGTTGTCATTTTCAAACACTTCTTTGTATGTCGATGCAAATTACCTGTCCCACTTTTACTCTCAGCAGAATATTCATTCCCACATTTCTTGCATTTGCACTTTAACTCTTCATTTGGATCCTTTTTGGGAATAAAGTTGAAGTAATCCCGAACTTCTAAAGTTAATCTCCTCTTCTTGCCAGGCACATCAATAATAGCTTTTGGAGATAACTTCTTTTTTCCAATTGCACTAGTCTCCGGGCATTGAGGTTGCTGGTTGGTGTGGCCTGTTTCCTTGATGCTATCACTACTGCTCCCGGTATCACTATTTTCTTCAGTAGTGACTGAATTTGGATATGTCATACTTATATCCATCTGTTAATCATCAAGATGAACAAATTGATTAAAAACTGTTAATCATGCCAAGTAGGTCTGGTCTGCTCATTTGGTCATCTATATATTTGCAGCCACCAGGCCATAACCATGCCCGCACAAAATAATTATAAAATTCCAGTAGGAGCTTCAACAAGTATCTATTTACAGAAAACCTAATCTAATTATTTTCTTGAGAATCTAAAATAAACAAATTTATTTAAGAGTTTCAAAAAAATTGAAGGAATAAAAAACAAATAATCTTTTCAACATTAACAACGTGTATACTAGCAAGATTAGAGACATTTTAAGAGCAAAATTATTTCTTTTTTTTAAGAGCCAAATAATTTTGTCTTGTATATGGAATATATACTACCAAAAAAATAGTTAAATGTCTTCAACCATATGCTTAAGTTGCACAGTTTTCTATCATTTTTCTTTCTTTCCCACCCAAGAAAGAAAGCTAGAGTCCTTCCTCCTGAAACAATGGAAGTCTCGAGCTTCAAGTTATTACCTTTATTGGGATTGCTAGGTTATGTCATCTACTGGTTTTATGGGATGGTCGAAGTCTATTGGTTGAAGCCAAAGAGGCTTGAGAAAATTCTCAGGGAACAAGGCTTCAAAGGAAATCCCTATAGGCTATTGCGAGGAGACCAGCATGAAAATGATAAATTACTCAAGCAAACTTTGTACAAGCCTATTTAGCTTGGAGATAATATCATAAAACGCATGATGCCTGATGTCTACAAAACTCTCCAAACCCATGGTATTTTTTTTTCTTTTTCTCCCCTAGTGTGTGTGTGTGTGAAAATTGACGCATATTAATAGTTTGGAAATATATATGTTTGCAGGAAAAAATTCTTTCATGTGGATTGGACGATATCCGAGGGTGGCTCTGACAGATCCAACACTAGTAAAGGAAGTCTTGACTAAGTATGTAACATTTCAGAAGAGTTATCATGATCTTGATCCTCTCATCGAAATTAATAAGATAAATTAAATAATCAAACGAAGCAAGCGAGAATCGGACCAACCTGATGAGGGGTTCTGAGGAACACTCGAAGGGACGCCTGGTTTTGCCTTTGCGCTTAGACTTTTTGGAGGAGAAAAGCTGCGTTTAGAATTTTTGAGGAGAATAGCAGAAAAGGGGAAGAAAGATTTAGGGCCGGCGTGATTTTTGCTTCTGCCTGCGTAGTGATAAGTGATATTTGCCTATTTGGTATATTATATTTAGTTATTTACTATTAAGTTTTTATATATTTTTTTAATATTTATTTATTTATTTTTATTTTAAAATCAGGTTAGTGGGTCAACCCGTGTTAACCCGATTTTGACCTGTTTTGTTTTCGAGTCTGGCGGGTCTGACCCGATTCTGACCCGATTTCTCAAAATCTAAATCCAAACCCATTAATTTCGTGTTAGGTTCGTGTTGGGTTTTCAGGTCGTGTCGAAAATTGCCACCCCTAGTCACCCCTTTCATTCTTAGAGTTTTTGTTCAAACCAGGCGCTGATCCCTCATCTCTCTCGGGAGTACGGGGTTGACGAAATCCACGCCCACAATTCCATCCATCTTCTCGCCAATTCATTTAGCAAGATTTTAAACGCATCATTAAAAGAGAAAAAATAAATATAGAAATTTAAAACATAAACAAGTTGCATGAACACTCTAAAATTAAAGTATAGTTCTTTACATAAACTAAAAGTCATGATACATGTCAAGAGTATATACATCAAGTCAATAATATCAAGTACAGGACATAGGCATCCAAGTGTCTCAAAATATAAGAGGTACATGCAACAAAATACAAAAGGTTTCAAGACGAGGATCATCATTTCTAAATCCTTAGCAAAAGTGAAAAGATCAGTAGGTCACTAATATAAGTTGACCGAACTCGTAGACCCAACATCTTCAGAAGGATCCTCCAACCATCCGAAATCGAATCATTGGGGAAGATCCCTCGATCCTATCACTGTCACTGTCCATATCCTACAAATAACCCACAAAACTAAAAGTTAGGTCCTTAAAATCACTAGTGCCACTCAAATATTTAATTTAAGGTTTATCACGGATTTCTATGATCAAAAGTTCACGAATAAGAACTCCTAACCCTATTTCAGGTATTTCAAATCTATCGCTCTGATATCAACTATGACGCCCCTATTTCTCCCTAAGGCAAACTCTAGAATATCAGCGGGATGCCTGCCTAACTCTCGTCAGGGCTCACGCACTCGATTTAGCTTAATAAAGAACTACAAGTCAACCATCGACTTATAAATAAGAAATGTTTCGAATATACAAGTCCAAAACTCCCAAGACTATCATTTACACTTCAAATATCTCCCATAACATACAAAAGATATACTAGCGTCCACCAAAAGCCGCTAGTCTAGAATCACCAATTTTACCTCCAAGTTCTGCTAAGGAAAACAAACTTAAAGAGATGAGTTAACGTTCAGTGAGACCAAAAAATCAAGCAAGTAAGCAAACAAGTAGCACCAATTAATCAAATAGCATACTTGAAAGCAACTTTAATATGAATTTTTATTTAAATGCACAAGTAGGAAATAAACACAAGTGGAAGGATACATGAACTTTCAAGCCACGTCTCGATCGATTCAACCCATTTGAGGTTGACTCTCCATCAACTCAAGTAACAATATGACCGTAGCGCTCTACTTACTTCCTCCATCCAACATAACACTCAGATCCGGAACCAAACAAGCATGAAGTGGCAATACTAATTAAGTATGCCAAACGAGATTTCAAAAGATCAAACTATAACATTTCCTAAGGTTTACCAAACTTCTCAACCAAACCCTTTCCGACTTGAGTTACGAGGTTAGCCAATAGGTTAGGGCGTCCCCACAAGTATGATTGGTCGATGAGACAACGTTACAATCGATTTAGAATCGTTTATAGTACTGACTCGGTATGAAGGGCACCTCCCACCCAAATAGGGTGTGGTACATGCTGCCGTTCAGAACTCACGAGTTAAAGCATGTTCGAGTACAAGTGCAAGTTACAAACATTCATGTAACAAGTGTCAATTAATTAAGAGGGAGAGGACAAGGGTGGTAAAGTACACCCTCGTCTCAGCAAGTTCACGAATCACATAGTACTTGTACAATTATCATTTCAATCATAATAACATGAAACATGCATTTGACACGCATCAAAAGTCAAGGGCAAGGCAATAACAAAAGCAAGAGGTCAGACAAACTCCTCGGCGTCCACATGACCATCTGAGAAATGCACAATCATTGTTATCTAAGTACTCGACCAAGGCTAACCAGAAAATTATCCTCTTGTTACCCACGCTCGAAAGTCACATTTTCAAGTCGAAATAAAAGAGACTTTCTCGCTTAATCATTGAAATAATACTCAAAGAGAACTCAAAAGTCATTTTCGAGTTAAGTCGTGACAAGCAATCTCTGTTCCAAAAAGAAAGTTTTCTACTTAATTTTTGGCACGAAAATCGAGAAAAAAAATATGATTTTAATATCTCAAAACCTCTAATTCTATGCCCAAGTTTTAGAATATAAAGGAGCATTCACGTTTTCTAATCTTATGAAGTCAAAATCCATCAAAACGCTACTCATTTTCATAGTAAATATTGAAATTAAAAGTTCCAAGTTTCGAATACAAAACTAGTGAAATTTCTGAAGAATTACTCTAGTTAAAACTTACCATTTTATGGTTTAATTTCATGGAAACCAAGAGCATAAGATTAGGGGTGAAATGCATTTCCTAAGTATGAAATGTGGTGCAAATAATCAAGAAAGTTAGGCTTGAAACCTAGAAAATATTTCCAAGTCACTTTGGAGCTTTATCACTTTATAAAGAAAAA